ACATGTAAATTTCTTTTTTTTTTTCACTTTTTTCTTCCCTCCCTCCATCCTGCTCTAGAGATGGCCACCATTAGACACAAATAGGTGTACACGCACACACAATTATTCTATGCATGCTTCTATTTGTCAGTTTTTTCTCTGGATGCAGATAGCATCTTTCTTCATATATCCTTTATAGGTAATTCAGGTATTTACAATAGTCAAAATACCTTATTTGTTCAAAGTTGTTCTTAAAACAATATTGCTATTACTGTATACAATGTTCTTTTGGTTCTGCACTCTTCATTATTTTGTGTGTCTTTCCATGTTTTTCTAAGCTCATTGAGCTCATCATTTCTTATAGCACAGTAATATTCCATCATAGTCATACATCACAACTTTTTCAGCCATTCCCCAATTGATGAGCATCCCTGCAATCTCTAGTTCTTTGCTACCACAAAGTGAGCTGCTATAAACATTTTAGAACATATAGGTTGTTTTCATTTTTCCCTAACCACCTTTGGAAATAGACCTAGTAGTAGTATTGCTGGGTCAAAGAGTATATGTAGTTTAATAGCTCTTTGGGCATAATTCCAGATTGCTCTTCAAAACACATAAAATTAATTCTTACAGTATATAAGGATTAAAAGAACTAGAGCTCTGGCCTTAGAGTCAGGAGGGCATGAGTTCAAATCCAGCCTCAGACACATAATACTTACTAGCTGTGTGACCCTGGGCAAATCACTTAACCCCGATTGTCTCACCAAAAAAAAAAAAAAAAAGAATTAAAAGAAGCAGTCCAGCAAGACCTCATATGCTTACTATTATCTCTAAGACCTCATACTAAATTTCTGTGTTTTGAAAATTTTGTTGAATATAAATAATATTTTTGATGAAACACATTACAACTTGGAAGACATTAAATGTAATGATTATATATAAACTGAATTTTAGTGCTGGTTTCAAATCATTCCAGAAACAAACTTGCAGTGTTTCAAGCATTCACATGCTTTCTCTAACAGAAGAAAAATATATTTGTAACATAATTGGACAACTATTTACTGGTTATGGGGTCATTAAAGAAGTTTTAGTTTAACCATTTTAACTTGGATCCTCTTCTAGGCCCTAAGGAGGTCATTAGCCAGTAAATAGGAACCACTGGATTGAAAAAGAGTGAAAAAGTGAATTTCTATTGTGTACAGCCTACTTTTTAAAAAATTATATAATAAATTTAACGTGATACTTTCAGAACTATCCTGACCATCTGTACTTCCTTCTGAACTTCAGTTTTCTTTTAAAAAATGATTCACTGATCTTATTTTCTTCTTTTTTTGGGTAATTTTGTCATTAACTCCACTCTCCCATCTGAATCTCCATGCTCCCTACCACTTCTCTCCCCGCCCCCCAAAAAAGAAGAGCTCAATCCTTGTAACAAAGAAGCAAAATCAGGCAAAAGAAATCCACAAAGTGGTGATATCCCCAAGATGTAAGCCTCATTCTCCATCTTGAATTCGTCATCATCCTGTAAATAAATGGACAGTATGCTTTCTCTTCTGTGCTCTGGAGTCCTGGTAGGTCACTTCATTGATCAGAGTTCTTAAGCCTTTCAGAGTTGTTTTTCTTTACAATGTTGTTGTTACTATAGAAGTTGTTCTTCTGGCTCTGTTCCTTTCACTCTGCAGCATTTCATACAAACCTTTCCAGGTTTCTGTGAAACCATCTCTTTCATCATTTCTCATGGCACAATAGTATTCCGTTACACTCACATACCTTAAATTGTTCGATTATTCTCCAACTGATAGACACACCCATTGTTTTCAGTTCTTTGCCACTGCAAAAAAAAAAAAAAGAGCTACTATGGATATTTTTGTACATATGGGTCTTTCCCCTCTTTTTATCTCTTTGGGATAGAGGCCTAGTAGTGACATCCCTGGTTCAAGAGGTATTTAGTGCCTTTGGGGTCATATATCCAAATAGCTTTCTAGAATGGCTGGACATTTCACAGCTCTACCAATACTGCATGAGAATGTCTTTTCCCATGGTCCCTCCTATAATTTTTATTTTCCCTTTTTGGCATTCTTGACAGTCTGACAGCTGTGAGGTAGAACCTCATAATTATTTTAATTGAAATTTGTTTTGGAGCACTTTTTTATGTGGCTGCTGATCAACTAAAATTTTTTCCTTTCTTTTATTTATATTGTTTGTGGGGGTTTGCAAGTTGAATGAACTACTCAAGTTTGTTTTTTTTTTTCCCAGAAATGCTTCAAATGCTTCCATTTATTGAATATCCATCCTCTTTCAATATTGATTAGGTTCAGGTTTATAGAGTATGCCATTTTGGGTTGTAACCTGACCTTTGTTGCTTCAAAAAAGACATATGGGACCCATTAGTTTTTACTCATTATTTTTTGAGAATTTCCTTTGTATTTGAAGGAAATGCTAGTGTCATCTTCTGAGATTGTCTCTAACTGATCTTGTATGTATCTGTTTGTGTTATCTGAGTTCCAAAGCCCACTGGCTTGGGACTGTCTTCATTGGTAGAGATCAATGACCCACACCTGTGTGAGGGACAGAGCAGAATTGACAAGAGAGTAGAGAGAACCTGCCTCATCACTCTCTGTAGGTTCATCTGACTTCCATCCTTGAGAGAGATGTGTGATGCCAACCTTTCTTCAGGTCACTGAATGAAGAGAAGGTCTCTAGGAAGAAGCCAAAGTAAGAGATGTTGACAGTCTCTATTATGTCTCTATTCCTAGCTAACTATGCTAGAGACTTCAAGCCATTTCTCCCTAGGCTAGATCTAGAACCCTCTATCTCTCTTGGCTGAGCTAAGTTGCCTCACTCCTAACGGGAGAGCTCCTTCAATTTATATAGCCTGGCACATACCCTCATATGTATACTTTCTCTGATTTCTCTTTTGATATCAACATGGATAAATGGACTTCTCTGCTGTTTGCTATATATGTTCATTTGGTGGCAAAGGGAATTAAGCCTTGGATATAAAGCTTGGAATCCTCCTTTCCCATTAAGAAATAGTGATCAGGAGTCTGGCTTGATCTTAAAAATTACACCACCTAGACTAATAACACTTAAGAGAGCAGATAGATAGAATTCTATCTTGGTACCTCCTCTCTCTGAGGAGAACAGAGTGACCAGCCTTTGGCCCCAACCTTCTGCTTTACTTCTTGGCAGGAATTAAAGCTTCCCTTTGAGAAAGATGGGAGGAAGATATACTAGAGATGTCTATTCTTGCCTCCTTGTCCCACATCAAGACCTTTTGCTACATTTGTACGTGATGTTTGCATAGTGTCTCTCTCTGTGAGCATCTCGAGTGAAGGTGTTTTTGATATTCTATGTATTTCTAGCATTTAGCACAATGCGTGGTGCATAGTAGGTCCTTAATAAATGCTTGTTGACTTGATTTTCATTGATTTGAAGGTCTTTATCCTAGTCACTTGCAGAATTTGGTATTTGTCATCGGAATTGTTAAATTAAACAATGTGTCTTTGGAATTGGAAGTGTATAGTGATTGAGGTCCTTGAATGTATTGAACATATGCTACTGTGTTTGTTTCTTTATGTTGTTTACCTAATCTGTTCTGTTGATTGCTCTCTATTTTTTAACCAATACTAACTATTGTTCATAATTATCTTGTTTTAATGTAGTTTGAGATCTGGAACTGCTTCCTACTTTCATTGTTTCCCTTGAGAATCTTGACTTTTTGTTCCTCCAGAAGAATTTAAAAACATTTTTTTCCTAGCTCTCTAAAGTAGTACTTTTATAGTTTGGTTGGTATGTACTGAGCAAGCAAATGGATTTAAGTATTATTGTCATTTTTATTATTTTGGCATGGCCCAACCATGAACAATTAATATGTCTCTACTTTGCAATAGCTTTCTAATTGATCTCCCTCTGCCTTCAGTCTCTCCCTTCTCCAATCCATCAAAGCTGCCAAATTAATATTTTTTAAACAAAGAATTTTGCCATTTCACTCTCCTACTCAGTGGCTTCCTATTCCCTTTAGAATAAAATGCAAAATCCTCAGGCTGGCATTTAAAGACCTTCACAATTTAGCTCAAACCTATCTTTCTAGATTGATTTCATGAGATTCTTCTGCATACACCCTCCTTATTCCATTTAAACTGGCTTGGTAGGATAGTTCCCAAGGAGTTTATTTGACTCCCACCTCTCTGCCTTTGTCCAGGTGGTCTCATATATCTAGAATGCACTTCCTCCTTACCTTTGTCTCTTAATTCTTAGCTTCTTTCAAAGAATATCTTAAATACCTCCTCCTGGAAGAGGCTTTTCCTGATTTGTTACATTTATCAGTGTTCTCTTCCTTTTGGATTTACTTTGTGTGACTTTGCATATGCTCTTGTATTTCCTTATCTATGTATGTTTTGTACACCTGTAGTATAATGTAAACTTCTCTAAGAAAGGGACCATTTCTTTTTTTGTTGTAATAGTTCCGGTACCTGGCAGAGTACGTTGCCCATAGTAGACTTTAAAAAAATGTTTGCTGAATTGAACTGAATACAACTTTTACCTCATTTTAACTTCATATCCCCATTTATATATACACTAAAGAAATGAAATGCCTGTGACAATGCCTTGTGCATAGTGTGATCTCTATAAATACATGTTAAATGAATGAATGAGTAAATAAGTGAATCCATGTTGATTTTTTGAGGTCCAGGAAGCTGAGTGACTTTCTCCAGGTCACACAAACTGAAGTCTAAGTTGGTGTTAAAATACAAGCCTTCTGATTCCTAACCCAATCTTCTTTCTGCTATATCATAAAAGTTCATTCTCTGTTTTTATGTCACTTTCTTGGTTTACTGCTAGCTAAAGGCCTTTTTTCAGAAGGCCCTTAATGGCAAACCTAGACTGATGGCCTAGCATAACACTGAACATGCCACAAAAGAGTTTGCATTCATTGGCAGTTCTCCCGGGGCTCCCATAGCAATGCTGTGCCAACAGCCATTGTCCTTGACAAGTGACTCTATTGGCAACACAGGATTCCTGTAAACAACTTCTCTACATGGATAGCCAGCAAGGAGTTCCATTGCAAGCAGTGTCCAGTTCTCTCACATAAGTAAGTAATTATTTAATCTTGGAAAATGTACCAGAACAGGTTGGTGCTATGGACATTGCTGTTGTCTAACTGGAAAGGTTAAAGGCTTGAGGTTAGCAAATGCAACTTACTTTTCAGAGAACATTTTGCTGAATGAGGGGATTTTTCTTTTGAGAAGGCTGAGAAATAGCCCCAGTCCTGAGAAACTAAAAGCAATCTGTTTGAACAAATGACTCAAAGGTGGGTTTCTTAAATGAATATATTCTATGCGGAGGAGGCAACTATCTATTGCAATGGACTGCTGGTTGGTCTCTGTCACAAATCTCTCAGAACTCTAGTCCATCCTCCACTTGGCTGTTAAAATGATCATCCTAAAGCACGGATCTGACCAACCATGACACTCATCCACCCTCACCCCCAGCATCTCCTTTTCACCTTTGATCCAGGATCAAATATGAAATTCTCCATTAAGCATTCAAAGCCCTTCGCAGCATGGCCCCCTACTACCTTTCCAACCTTTCCACACCTCACTCCCCGCTATGAACTCTGGGATCCAGTGACCCTGGCCTCTTTGTTGTTCCTTGAATGTGATTCTCCGCTTCCAGACTCCAGGTATTGTCCCTCATCCCTGGAATATTTTTCCTCTTCATCTCTGCCTCTTGGATTCCCTGGCTTCCTTCCATCCTCAGCTGAAGTCTCACCTTTCCTGATCCTCCTTACTTACTCCTCTGAGACTATCCCCAATTAATTCTGTCTATATCTTGTTTGTACATGTTTCTTTTCACATCATCTCTGTGAGCTCCTTGAGAGCAGGGACTGTCTTTTGCCTTTCTTTGAATTCCCAGCACTTAGTACAGTACTGGACACATAGTAGGTACATTTAGTGGTCCAGTAATTCACGTCACTAAGAATACAATCAAGGTCCTGTGACAATTGGTCCCTTCTCAGACTCCACCCTTCTGCTTGTAACTAACTAAATCTCAGGATTTGTCATGAGGAAGTCCAACACACTCTTGGTCATCGATTACCGGGAAACAATATCTCTTCCATTTGACAGAGCAGTTTTACCATGGACATTCTTTGTATGATAACGTCCAGTGAGATAGCACAGTTAACAGAACACTGGACCTGGAGTTAAAGACTTGCGTTCAAATTTGGCCTCAAACACTTACTAGCTATATATGACCCCGGGTAAGTCATTTAACATCTTTTTGCCTCAGTTTCCCCAACTGTAAAATGAGAATAATAATAGCATTTACTTCCTAGTTATGAAGATCAAATGAGATAATACTTGTAAACCACTTAGCACAGTGCCTGGCATATAGTAAATGCTTAATAAAAGCTAGATCGTCTGATAATAAATAAATATTAGAAATATTACACAAAGAATATTTAATTAAACCAATAACCCTACTCTCTATAAAAACCAAACCAAACCTTGGTTCAGCCATTCTACTAATGCAAAGAGACTTGTTTTCAACTTACTTTCTCTCGTCCCATCTCTGCCTTGCTTTTCACACTGTGAAAGAATACGCAATCAATGCATGTATATAACTTATATCAAATTGCTTACATTTTTAAGGAGGAGGGAGGTGAGGGAAGGAGGGAGAACATTTGGAAATCAATTTTTTAAAAATGAATGTTAAAAATTGTCTTTACTTGTAATTGAAAAAATAAAATACTATTAAAAAAAGAATACTCAATCAAGACAAATTCTGGAGACAAATTAATTTGTCTCTTACTGGAGACCGCCCTGTGACTTTGCAGACATCAATATTCTTGACGTAGGCATGCAACCTTTGTCTCTGACTTTAACAATACTTCTTTTCCTTCAAGTCTGAATATTGTTTCTTCCATGTAGTATTCCACAATCTACCTGACAAAAAGTGTTCTCTCCTTTAAATGACCTTTTGTCCAGATCTCGCTGTTATCCCTGTTACTCCCTACCCTGAGTGCATATTGTAGGACATATGCATAACAGGGACTGGCCAATGGGGGCCCAGTCCTGAGAGGATGCTCAGGGGACCCATGTATATGTTTCGTCAGACTACTGCTGAAAGTTGATGATGATGTGTAAGGTAAAGAGGCAGCTCTCCACTTAAGATAATTTTTCAAGGGATTCATGGGGATGTTTGGTGATCTGCTTCCAGGACTGGGCCCCCATTGGGCAGGCCTTTATTCCACCCCCCTTCACTTTCCACCCCTACCACTTAAAATTTTCCGCCTTACTCTGCAAACTTGCTAGGGTATATTTTGACACATTATCCACACCCCCATTTCAGAACAGTTTTCTACCTAAGGTCCCTGGGAGGCATAAACATCGACCTTTCACTCACTTCTCCACTGTAATACAGAAAAGTCACAAAACAGTCAACATGGCACAGATATCATACACATGTACAGGCAAAAACTGCAAAAAACTGCAAATGCAGAGTTACACAGGATTTCTGGATCAACTTTATTCTGCCATTGGACATAAACATGTCATATCACTAGCTAAAGTCTGCAAAAATCAAGCTGAAAAGTCAACTATAGCCCTAGTTGTGTCTGCAAATTTACAGCTTGAGATACCAGCTAATATGGGTTAGTATCTCCTGTTTTACCTAATATAACTCTTCCCTTTCTCTCATCTATTCTTTGATATATAAAGCATTACCTTTCCCCTCTGCCTTCTGGAAAATTCTACTGTACCCATCCTGCCAATGTGACCCAAAACCTACATATGGTTACTTAAAACTGCTGCTCAGGGATCACTGTATATGTGTGTGCATGTATATATGCGTGTATACACATTCTTATATGTACATACATATATGTATATATAAATATGTGTATATACATGTGTGTGCATATATGTACATACACATATGTATGTGCATATATGTACACATATATGTATATATGTAGAAAGTGAGAGAGTATGAGTCTATTCTCTGAGCATAATAAACCAGTCATTGATCCTTGTGATTGCCAGCAATACCTATCAATGAATCCCCGGAAGAAGTAATGTTTAACAAAAAAGGATATTAAATAAAAATGCATCAGTACTTACTGCTTACTTACAAAAGCCTGTCTTGGTGCTAAAAATGATCTTCTCCAACTCAAAGGCAATAACAAAAAGAAAAAGGCAAAGAAAATTCAGTTTCCTATCTCAGAAGGAAACCTGGTTTCTAAAGAGCTTCCTAGAGTACTCTCGAAGCTCTTTCTGAAGGGATTTAGAATGTGGTGGGTCTCAGCTACCCTCAGGTGAGAAACTCACTCTATTTGTCTTGATGTTTGCAAAATGACTCTGGGCCCTAAGTAGCTGGGGCTGGAACATTATTAGCCCTTCCCTCTTTGTCTAGGTCCCCCTCCCCGCCTCTGCTCTGAGCCTGTACTTGCAGAATGAGTTTAATGTTGTAAAATTCTTCACTTCAGAGCATTTGCTGGGATTCCATGACCGTTTCCCTATTGGCTTATTGTATGATGATGAAAAGTCTTTTGGTTGGCTGCTGAGCCAGAATTAGGGGAGCATACAAAAAGTTCCGGTGGTGAATCTTTCTTTCCAGTTGGCTTCAAGATGTAAAGATGACCCTCTGAGCTTTGGGGAGTCATTAGAGGGTTGAAGGAAAGCCTTGCCTCTATGGTCTATCCAGTCCACAACTGCATGGGCAGTCCTGTGTCTGGGATGGGACTATGTGCCTCCCGTTGATGTCTTCTTTCCTTTACTACAGGGTCTCATGAGATTGCGAAAGAAAGGAAGATTTGCCACACGTGTGAGTAGGTGCCCTGCTCACATTCCCAGGAGCAAGCCCTCATTGACCAGACCCTTGTTACATAAGATTCTTGAGGGCAAGGAAAACTTTTCTTTGTGTCTTTGTGAGACTAGCATGTAGAACAGTGCTTTGTATATGGCAGGTGCTTAATGAATATATATTAAATTGAATTTAAAGCTAACTAATGAACTGTGCCTCAGATAGTGTCACTTATTAATTGGAGGGCATGGGGGCGAATATCCTATGCATTATTTTGGAAGAATACTATAGAGTGACAGACACAGTTCTTGCTCAGGTCCGCCGGACAAAATGTGAGAAAATTTGGCATACAACAATTCCAACAATTCCCTCCTCACTTTCCAGGCATCCAATGAATTCAGACTTTTTAACCTCTTCTGCTTATGGAAACAGAAAAGGTTCCTAGGTAATATTGGCCTTGGGAAAGTTGCCCCTCCTCAGGACCACAGTTTTCTCCTCTGTAAAAGAAGGGGTTGCATTGGATAAGTTCTCAGGTTCTTTCTTGCTGCCCGGTAAATTTTATCCTTATAGTCATTTACGCTCTGATTGAAAAATATTCATAGTGATGCATTATATTCCTCAGGCCATTTGCCTTTTTATTCAATTCAATTCAACAAGCCTTCATTAATGCTTTCCACTCTGTGGGGCTTTGGAGAAATAAAGGGAAAAAATCAATCTCTGCCTTCAAGAAGTTTACATTCTACTGCTGAAAAACTCACATGCAAATGAGTAAATACAAACTATACTCGGGGTTTGATGGGGCTGATCCAGGGACCCTTCATCTATTAAATCTCCTCCAATTACTTGATGGAATTACAGGTTGTCAGAATTAGAGTTGCCCGTTTGAACACGAAGGGCTTAGGAAATTGCCAAGAATTGGAAATCAAAGGACTTGTCCCATTCTCTTTTCTCAGTCCATTTTTGGGGCAAACTGGAAAGACTGAAACCCTTTTGCATGCAAAAGTTCCACTCCAAGTGTGACTCTGATTTGATAAAGTGGAACAGGGTACCTATTTGATGAGGGCTCCCTTGATTAAACACTTTCCCCTCCCAAAACAGTAGTTTGGGGGCACTTGGACAACCAGGGAGATCAGGAAAGGCCAAATGAAGGAAGTGTCCTCTGACCTGAGCTTTGAAGGGAGTTAAAGACTCCTAGGGGGTAGAGGTGGGGAGGAAGAACATTCTAGTCCTAGAGGAAAACCCACAAACACATAGAGCAGCCCAAAGGCACAAATGTGGGAAACAATT